GCTCCGAAAGACTCTTTATTAAAAACACGTCTGATTTTGTAGCGGTGAAACCTGATGGAGCTTAAATGACCAAAATTGTGTCGATAGTGCCATAAAACATCTACCCAATCAATCAATCAATCATCACTTGAATTAAAGTCAAACGAAGTTGACAACATAAGGAAGACCAATCTAAGGCGCAAATTTTATTAATGAAAGTATCATGAAAGTGACAGGGAGGTTATCATGTGGATTTTTAGAAATTTCCCGGTAATGTCCCCTTTGCATTCCTATTGAAGCCGGAACTCGCCTACAGCAGGATTTTTCTTCTAGGACCAAAAGTCCCGCTATAGCCGTGTTATGTGGCCTAAATAAGGTAAGGGAGGGGGGTGGTTTAGCTTATTAAAAAAAGTCTGGAACTTCACTCTCAGACTTCGTTTGTTTGTTTAGTATGGGGTTTTACTACGTTCACAAACTCTCAGACTTCGTTTGTTTTGTTTTTGTAAAGTGTTTTACGGCGCTCGCAACTGCATAGGTCATATGAGCGCGCGGGACACACCTAATATTTTCATTTGGTAGGAAATTTTGAATTTTGCCCGGGTGGCGACCGAAGCCTACTCTTATCGATTTTAGACCACCAAGGGATCTTTAAAGTGCGCAACTTGCACACGAGCCCTCCGAAATTTTTCGCCCTTGTCCAAGAAGGCTAGGTGTAGATCTTTCCTACCAGAAGATCAGGGGTGTGGCAGAAAGACAGCAGTAAGGAGGAGCCCAGGAGTAGCAGCAGAAAGGCTGTAGAAAGAGTCAGGAGCCCAGAGGAGGGGGCAAAGGAGGTGAGGGGGTGGGTCAGAAAGTGGAAATGAAAGCAGACAACAGAACATTGCTAGAGAGCAGGAAAGGAGGTGAAAGGAGACAATTTTAGAGAAGAAAATTTTTCGGTCGCTACCCGGATTCGAACCCGGGACCTTTGAATGAGAGGCCAACACCTTAACCTCTAGGCCACGAGAGCCCCCTCTCAGACTTCATTCATACATGATACACATGATATAAACACAACTCAAATTCTTATTTAAAGACTTTTTACTCCAAAAATTATATGAAATACCATACACATGTACATTCATAAAAAGTTCGACAAAAAAATTAGATCTACCGGTACTCTTTTCATGTGTAGCAGCATAAAAAAATAGTTGAAACAAAATATTTTCATATTCAGTCATACTATACTCTAATCTCATCCTTCAATCTCAAGGCAATCATTTTTACTCTAAACTCTAAATGAAGAGAGGTATAAATGACCAGGTATTTCTGTGCCCATTATTGACTAGATCTTGCAATGCCTAATTTGACCTGTCAGTAGCCTTCCAGCATGCCCTTCAGCTCAAATCCATTTCATCATAAAGAACGGAAATTAATGTGGTTCTGTGTTGCAGTATCATGTTGCACAGTCATGGACAGGACTAATGCAGACTCAATTCTCCACCCAATTGTGCGCCCTATAAAGTAAAAGCATGCTCCATGGTTTTTTTTCCACTTTCATATAGACAAACCCATAGCCACTTCTAAACACACGCTTAGACCCATGATTTAAGCCAATAGGATGCTTGAAAAATGGAAAATTTCACAACAAACAAGACAACTTGCATCATAATAACAAAGACAAGTCTAAACATTTAGCAAGACTGCTCCTCGAACAGCACAATGAAAGTGATTGACAGTATTTTCACACCCACCCGTCCATGGAGACATAACTACAGGATTGGGTGATTGATATATGTTTTAGTTAATATATTGTAAACAATCAAAAACTAAAAATGTTCACCTATTTATGAACTCAAATTTAAACATTTTATTTTGCCCTGCACCAAAACAAATTACAATTTTCAGCAGTTAATTTTCAACATTTCTTTGGTAAAGAATTTAAGCTTCTAAAATTTAAACATACACCAAACATAGCAGCACAGCCTTTGAACAAAAGCAAGACTTTCTGACTGCCCACTGGGCATCTTTTGTGACACCATGAAAAAGCCTTGGACACCCTGAAACATTTCACCTGTAAAACAAATGTGGAGAGATATCTTTATTTATAACATGAGGACCGAATGAGTAAACAGCATAATACAGTACAAAAAGGCTGACAGACTTGGTATCATCCGTGTGGTTGGGCAACCAAATCCCGCAACTAACAACCAGGTCACAAAAAGTCTGTTACTGTTATGATTTGTTAGTTTTTTTCGTGGGGCAGGTGGGACGTGAAGAAAAGATGAACAAGTCATATTGTTTGACGGATATGCATGCAGAAAAAAGATGATAAATAAAAAGATTAAAAAGTACAAAGTAAAAAACCCAGATTTTTTGTTACACTTACACATTACACAATTTGATAAAAAAGTGTTTCAGGGGTAAGTTAACTCAGCATGTCACCAAAACAGTTCGCCTTGACCCCGATTCTGAAATGCGCAAACTAAATGCCTGCTCATCCCCCCTTTTTCAAAATCCCTGAAATCAGTCATCAAATTTTAGTTTACTCATAAGCTATGCATATCATTTGTAAGCCATTCAGATGTTGTTGACAAACGTTTGCCTGCCATTCTTTCCCTGACTTATTCTTGCATTGAGAATATGCTGCGTCTTTTTAAAAATGTGATAAGATACCATTCAATTTAGAATAAGAATCATGGGTCTCAACTCAGAATTTTTATAAAGGAGGAACTTTCCGCGTAATCGCAAAAGAAGACCATTTTCACGAGACGAAAATCTCAAACAGCATCAGTGAACGCGTGTTTGTTGAGCTGTGTTCTGACCGTCATTTCTGTACTTTTAAATTTTTTTTATTCGGAACACTTCTCTTGTGGAAACATACCCGCTCACATCTAGGCCTAGATCTACATAAAGTACGGTAAAGGCGAGGGCTTGGACTTTCTGATCAGGGCCTCTTGGCTTTGGGGCCCATATTAGGAGGCACACTAGATCTAGCAATATACAATGCGTTAGGAATGGAGGATGGTCCTTGTGCTTCGCGTGAGATGGAGAAAAAGGAGAAAAATTCTTCGCTTTCGGGGCCACTAATTGCCTTATTTGGTTATCGTTGAATGAAAGTGACTTCGGCCTGTTTGCAACCTCGTTGGAGCTAACGTATATTTACAAAGAGATACATAGAGGAAAAGATCACGGATTAAGGATTGCCTCATTGGAGCCGTCTTCCCGTTGAATATGACCTCGTTAAATGCGATGCCCACTGTACTGTTTAACACTAGAATGCTGAAATAAAAACAATAAGTTTATCAACAAAGCAAAGTTTTTTCTTATCAATTTGAGGGCTTGGAAGATAATTTCGAGTAAAAGAGTCACTTACTAAATACAGTCAGCCTAAAGTGAACACGCTTTATTCGAACAATCGTTTAAAGTGAACGATATTCTGTGGTCCCGACTGAAACGCAATTTTTTTAAGTTAAAAAAAAAAAGTGGATAAAATTAACCTGTTTCATGGCGAAATCAGATAAAGTGAACGCCCAAAATGAGCGAAAGCAAAGAATGGACTGACCGTGTCACTGTCGTCATGCTGTGAAAATAAAATTCTTTACCTCTGACATCGGCAGGCAATCCAAGCTCGGCGTTGGCGATGGCAATCTCAATCAGAAAGAAATAGCTCAAGTCTTGACTCGCCTGCTGTGTTGTCCCCCAACCCCGCCTCCACCCTAGACCCACCACTGCGTGTAGCTACTTTTCTATTCAGTAAAGGGGAGAATAAAAGAAATCTTTATTTTTCTCAAACCAGAAACATTGACATATTATATATTATATTTTTTGTCACAAAACTGTTCCTATACTACAAAATAAGTAAGTTCTGCTGTCCAGATTCAATAGAATTTTATATTCAGTGACCATTTTCACCTTGCATTTTGGACAGCCCTCTTACAAATCCCTCTGGTTCAAGAGCATTTGAAAAGAGTCATAAATGGTTATGCAACTCATTTAAACAATCATTTCACTATCAGTCAGTACCTACAATTTCCGTGCCTACCATTCAACACCTCTGTCATCTAGAGTCAGCTTTGATAACTGTCTCCTTAAGCTGCCTCTGTTCCTGTTGGACTGTTTTAGAATCCTCCCATGGACGTGGTCCTCTGATGTTCTGCCACTGATCTAAGTCTGCTTTTTCAACTTCCTGAAACAAAATAGTACTTTCCAGTTAAACAATTCCTGACAGGAAAATGTGACACACAATGCAAATGAATTGTGAAACAAATGTATAAGCAGTCATCAGCATACTTATTTTTACCATTAGTTCCCTGTTAGTGTTTGTATAGTGCAGTAGTCTCCGACTAAACGCATGGTGCTCGGGAAGGCCCCTAAGCGTGTGTTTATACGAAGCGTGCGTTTACATGAACCTGCGCAAAGGTAGGAAGGGACGCAGAGATCTCAATTCCTTGATATTCTACTGACCTACCTTGGGGGTGGGGGACACTTTGGCCGATAATGTGACAACACGTGACTATTTTGTGAAGGATTCCCCCACTGCGGGAGAAAAACACTCATTATAATGATATGCACCATGAAATGTCGGGAACAGATAGCCTAAGAGGAAGCTGCAAGTGATAGCCATAAAGACGATAGCCCAGCCACGTGGCTTTCCAAGCGACCACCCCCGACCGTAAATTCATGGATGACATCAGAATCATAGATCTCTACATTCAGATAAACATTAAAATTTCTCTTGTGATTCATTGAACAAGTACGCTATAAGTTCTTCGAGCGCAGCTGATTAGGCTTACTTGACAAATCTTTAATCCTATAGAGGCCTATCTAATATCTTAGTTTCACAAAGGTTGACAAAAAATATTTTAGATGCACCGATAATAATAATAATATTAATAATAATAATAGATCTAGTACTTGCATTTTTACTAAAGCATATATTCAAGCTCTTTTCAGAGTCTACAGCATGCCCTGTATGCTTTACAATTATTCATAATTGAACAGTTTCCACATTTAGGAAAAGGAGCACTTATAAACCTGCAGCAGAACGCGCCAATGCCTGCTTTTCATCCAGTTATTTATTCCAGAAACAAGTCTTGCCACCCTATAGGGAGACGGTGTGATGAAGTGCTAGATCAAGATCACGCTCAGTATCTGAATTTATATCAACAACAGAGTATATCCAGATTTGCCTCTTCCTTACTATGCACACAGCATGACATGTTATAAAATGTGTACGCAATCAACTTAGGCTGACTGAGGAACATGTAGGAGCAGTTTGCAATCAATGTCAGTTATCTTTTTGTATTGTGTGTGTAGGGATGCATTGGAGTGAATATGTGTGTGTGTGTGTGTGTGTGTGTGTGTGT